TTAGTGAAAAACAGATCAGTCAATTAGGTATAGAGTGGCATAAGAGACCTGAATGACATGAACAGAGGCCTAGAACAGAAAGTAATGCTGGTGGGGAGATATAATTGGTCCGGGGAAACCTCTCTGTAAAAGGATATTTAAACCAAACCAGAAGAGAAAGCGTGTCAGGGCTAGAAGACAGAAAATGCCAAGGTCCTGAGACCAGAAAGAACTGTGTGTAACCAAAAGCCCAGCGTGGCTGGAGCACAGCAGGAGAGGAGAGGGCTGTGAGCCTGGGTGGGAGAGGAAACAGGGTCCGGGACACCCTGGAGGCTGAGAGAAAGTAGGAGTCTGAGCAACGGGACTCACTCATTAGATCTGACTTGGGTTATAGGGAGTGGGAGATAATTGTACACTTCAAGACATGTAGTAAAATAAGTATGGCCCTCTGCGCTAGATTTGACTCTCACAAACAGTAAATTGCAAAGATTTTTCCATTTGCAACTTTATTTGGAGGAGGTTTTGCTGGAAGTTGTTTCCTGACATAGAATGATTGCCTGTAAGATAAACTGAGACTCCTGTGAATGAACCATGTGCCCACGTATGACACAGTATCTTGTCCTAGGATCTTATTTATTCTGTGGAGTTTATTATAGGAAAGGAATTCACAGTTTGGTTTCCATGCCTTTGCAGCTGCATTAAAACTCTTTGTCTAACTGTTTAAATTTTTAGCAGCTCTTAAGAGGATGGAAGGTATGCAGGCTTAAAGTTTGTGAGTTCAAGAGAAGCATTGATTTATTTCAGCAATCTGGATTTGGAATTTAATTTCCATCTTCTTTATTCCTTTTTCTTTGTTCTCTGCTCTCTCTTTCACACACACACACACACACACACACACACACACACACAGAGAGAGCTCTCTTTTGTAGCTAAGGTACCCTAAATAATAAGCTTAAAGCAAACTTTGAGACTTTTAAGATAACCCCTATGGTGTGGTGCTGATAATACGCTTCAGTCTGTTTGGCAGGCTGCTATGTTACAAGTCCGTAACAGGATATTTGTACCAGCTGAACAAAGTGTGGACAATCAAAATAGAAAATTAGTATTTGTTTCAGCAGATGAGACAAAGTTAGGCAGCAGAAAACCTTAACACGTTCAAGCTTCTAAATGAAACAATAGAATTAGAGAACTCCATCTCTTTTGAGTAGTGTTCCTGGCCTGTAGCTGGTCCTGCTGGAGGGTTTCTGGCAGGGAAGCCGGGCTGGAAGCCAGGCCTGCAGCCTGAGCGGCACAGTGTCTGACCCATTGCAGGGATATGTGTGTGGGGGATGTGTGTCAGTATTTCTAGCATGCCAGTTTCCTTGTTAGCTTCCTCACAGTACCCCAATTTTATCCTCCCCATTGTGCGTAGTCTTGGTGGCAAGACCAGGGCCCTTTCCCCTTGTGTTTTGATTCAGAACCAAGAATAAGGGAGACACATAACTAATCCTGGCCATCTGGTGTATTCTCCAGGGACTTTGAATTTGGGAGCATGACCCCGTCCAGAGTGAAGAACTGGTGAAAGCAATTTACCAGTTGGAGTGCTGCTGCAAGGGCCTTGATTGGGTTTGTCTGTGAGCCAGTAGCTGCCCCTTCTGCTGTTTGGTTTGTGGAGCTCTTCTGGAACCCACTTCTCCAAGCCTGGCTTCCAGCATCTCAGTAGGTCTGTGAGCCGCTGTCATCCCAATACTGTCTTTCCTTTGGTTCAAGTTAGCTAGACTCTGTTTTGGTTGTTTGCTCTCAAAGGCCTTAGTTGAGATGGTATAATAAATGTTTCTACAATGAACAAATTAAAGAAATGAAGCTATCCCTGGTTATATTTCAAGCCTTTTATGACTTTTCACTTTTTTGTCATAATCAAAAGATTGAATCTCATGTACAGATGGGGTCTTCTTGAAACTTGGATGAATATTACAGTTTTACATAGCTCTCTTTTGATGACAAAACTGTTTTTTTTTTAATAATTAAAACTAACTTTTAAATATATGTTTATTGTATGGTATTTGGAATATTTGGGTGAGCATAAAAAGAATATAAATATTCATAAACATTTTTCAATATAATATCTATGGACAAAATCATTGTTTAATACTTGAATGGTATCTCAAGTATTGAAGGGTAGTATAGTTTGTACAGCTAATCCTTTATTTTTAGACATTTGGGTTCTTTCCAATTATTTACTCTTACAAAAGATACTTCAGGGAACATTCTCTTAGGTAAATCCTTGTATGCAGATGCTTATTGCCCTTAGGACACATTTCAAGAAGTAGAATTGTCTGCCAAAGAGTATGCATGTTTATAATGCTTTTACTCACAAGAATAGCCATTGCATTGAAAAAGAGACTAACACTTTTATTGCGAATCTTTTCTCCAACAAAAACAGAAACCAAAAACAGCCTGTGCTACAAGGTACACATCAAGGCAGCCCTGTTGAAAACCACATTGCATTCACTGAGGTTCTTCTACTGATCAGCTCAACTAAACAGAAACTGACATTTCAAGAAAATTTTATTAACAGCCTTGTCTGTTCAAACACAACCAGCAATTTCACCTGCTTTATTCACCCATGTACTTAAAAAAACTTTTATAGAGTCTACTGTGTGCCTGACATGGGTCTGGGGCTGGGCATGTAATGGGAGGTGGGACCTGGTCTCCAGCTTCGAGGCACACAAGTCCAGTGGGTTACTCAGGCCCACAGACATCTGAGAACACAGTGTAGCAGTCAGTGCTGCAGGAGAGGTACATGTGTATGAACACAGTGTTCTGGGACCAAAGACCAGGAATGTTTTCAACCTATGCACTTACAGTCCTTTAGTTCCCTTTTCCTCCATTAGAAAGTAACATTAGAAATGGGAATATGAGCTACACCTTGAGAGATACAAATAAAGGATTCTGGGGAACCAAGAAGAGAGAGATCAGGAACAGCTCTGAGGAGTCACTGGGCATTGACGAGTGGTAGGACTAGCATTGTCTGGAGGGGGCATTTTGCAGATGAGGGCATCATGAGCCCTGGCTCAGAGAGAAGAAAAGGAGAAGTTCACAGAACAGACAGAAATATAAGGTCAGGTATATCAAGACGGTTGGAAGTCTAGGCTACCTTGATTGCTGTTAATAACAACATAAGGCATTTGTGTATAACTCCATAAGTAAAGAAGAAGGTTGTGTTATCTTTTGCTGCTGCAACAAATGACCACTTGGTGGCTTAAAACAGCACAAATTTATTATCTTATAATTCTCTAGATCAGAGGTCTGACATAGGTCTAAACTCAAGGTGGCTGGGGCAATGCATTCCTTTCTGGAGACGCGATGGGAGAACCTGTTTCTTTGCCTTCTCCAGCTCCTTCAGACCTTCAGCATCCCTTGGCTCAGGGCCCCTTCTTCAAAGCTAGCAACAGCTGGTCAGTCTTCCTCATGTCTGACCACTCTGACCTCCATCTGCCTCTCTTTTCTATTTTCAAGAACACTTTTAAGGGCTCGCCTGTATAATTCACAATAATCTCCACATCTCAAGATTCTTAATTACACTTTCAAAGTTCTTTTTGCTATGTAAGGTAATGAGGTCACTGGTTCTTGGGATTAGGACATAGAAATCTTTGGGGAGCTGATTTTAGCTCCCTGAAACCCATGAACATTAGGGTTTTAGAGCAAAGAGTGACATATGCTGCCATCAGGGAGGAGGATAGACTGGAGGGAAAGAAACCAGTTAGAAGACCTGTGATGATTCCAGAAAAATATGATTAGGTCCAGGGGAAATAAGAAGAAAGGGACAGAAGCAAATGGAGTGGGAACTTGCCAGGGAACATTCCCTGGCAACTGGCAACTGGTTGGGTGGAGAGAGGGAGGGAGGGAACAGAGGTGGAAGTATCATTGACGATTCTGCTTGAGAACTGAGGTAGAAGATGGACACATATTCAGGATACATACACTCCAGGGAGAGAAGTAATAGATGGGCTTGGCTAAGAGAGAGCGGAGACGGACACTGGGCCTGGAGACAGTAAAGAAAAGAGACATACACTGGAGAGGTACTGAGGTGGGAAGAGAGGAAAAGAACAGAGAAAGAGTATGCGAAAGATGGCGAAAAACCACCAGGAAGAACAGAGAGAGCCTGGCAAATAAAAGAGGGGATGAAAGACTGGAATATCAGCAGAGAAATGGAGAAAGGGAACAACTCAGAGGCTTCTGGTATGAAGGAGTTGGTCACTTTATATCTCCAGTTCACTTGGGATGCACTCACAATTGTTAAGATAATACTTTTTAAGATTGTCTTGAAGATGTATTCGGTTTCATAGTCACTGTCCATGGCTTGTGTATTGTCTAGCCTTCAGGAGGCCTCAGTGCTCCTTGGGGGGCGAACCATTAGCCCAGTAGGCTCTGCAACCCCTTCCCTGTGCCCTGCACTCCCTTCCCAACACGACTTAACTCTTGAATTGTTATATCCCTGGAATTTGAGGCCTCATCAGGTGTGTTAAGGACAAATATTTTTCACTCTGTCACAATTCCTAAAAGGCACTGCAACTTACTAAGTGATGCACAGGCAGGAAATTTTGTAAGCCACAACACAGCATCAAGTTTACACCCATTTTATAGACAAGAGCACCGAGGCTTGGCATCAGTCCAATCACAAGCTCAAGGTCACAGGCGGTCAAAGCTGGGAGACACAGGCTAATTCTCCATCAGACAAGGCAACACTGGACTAATAAATATGGGCAGAATCACCAAGGAAGACTTCAGACAAACAGAAAACCGGCGCGAAAGAGCTCCCGCTGAACCTTGCTCCCAAACCAGCCCTTGCCTGGCGGAGTCTGAGGCATAGAAGGAAGTATTCGATACAGGAGTAGGATTTCATCCGGCGCAGACACTGTAAACCCTTTCATATTTATTATCTTTGCATAGAGGAAGTGGGCACTCAGAGAGGTTAACAAACTTGCCCAAGGTCACCCAGGAGCCTGCAGTGAGCCCTGGGCTCCCTCCCTGCTTCATCGGATGGGCAGAGCTCTGGCCAGCGAGGGCGCGAGATCCCTGCAGCCGTCCTCCGCGCCCGCTCCTCTGTGAGCCCGCTGGTGGGGCTTCGCCCCCGCGGTCCCCAGCGCCCAGTGGAGGCAGCAGCGGGCAGGGCAGCGGGGACCGCCCGGGCTGGGGGCTGTTGAGCCCGCCCAGTCCGCCTCAGTCGGGGAGAAGGACGATGCGCCGCGCTCCTAGGTGAGCAGGGCTGGGGTCCTGCACCCGCAGCGCCGGCCCGCGCTTAGCTCCCGCCGGCCCCACCGCGCGGGGGCTGGAGCCGGCACCCGAGGGGGCGGCGGGGAGGGCGCAGGCAGCGGCTGGGAGCGCAGCGGCAGCGCTAGCGGCGGCAGAAGCTCGGCTCGGCGGCTGGAGGTGGCCGCTCCAACCTCGCTTCTGGCAGCGGGTAAGTGCAGCGAGTGCGCCCAGGGGTCAGGACCGCGGGAGCCCACGTGTGTCGGGGGACGCCGCAGTGGCCGGGCGGCACGACGGGGTTGGAGTGGGGGGGCTTGTGGTCTCCGGACTCTGGAGACCCGGCTGTGCCGCAGGGTGGGCTGCTTGGCGGCTCAGGGTGTAGGGGGGCTGGCTGGTTGTGTAGGACGGTTCCAGCGTGGGATCACTGCAGGTTCGGGGCTGGAACCCTGCACTTGTGTATGTAAGTACTTGTGAAACTGAATGTGTGTTCATTGACTATATGAGGTTGTGTGTGGTTGTGTGTGTAAGGAGAGAGAGAGAGAAAGAGACACACACAGAGAGAGAGAACATAGGCTGTGCATGTGCGTAACTGCATACATGTGTAGAATATCTGTGGTCAGTCAGGGATGTGTAACAGAGAGCGTGCGCTGTGTGTGTGTAAGAGAGAGACACAAGATAATGTGTCCTGAGCATCTACTTGTGCGTCTTTGTGGCTGTGAATGTGTGGGTACGCTGTGCTCGCTGTATGAAGCTTTCACGGTCCCTGCCAGCGCTAGCAATCATCCTGCAGTCGCCTTTCACAGAATCCCGGTCCCAATTTAAGATGCATTTCCTCTCAGCTTGCCACCTTGTGTGTGGCACTGCGCTGTTAGTTGCCTTTGGAAGAAGTGGCTGTTGATACAGGTCAGTGACAGCTGGCAGAGGTGAAAAAGTCAGAGGTGTGAGCTCATCTTCCTCGAGTTCAACGTTATCTTGGCTTGATTCCCGTTTGGTTCACTAAAATGAAGAAAAAATGTTTCCAAGGGTACAGGTTTGGCATGAATGAAAGACGGTGTGTGATGGAAAGCCACTGATGGAAATTGGCCCTCTCTGTCTTCTATTGCTGGGTCATAAAGCTGTGAGTGACCCTGGAGGGCAGTAGTTGAGCTTTGCCTAGTCCCCTGAATGGAATTTGAGCATCAGTGACCTGGAGAAGTTGCTGTGTGCTGCTGGTGAGCACAGGTGGCGAATGAAAAAGACACTGGTACCTTAGAAACAAGGAAAACAGGACAGAGATGAGACCCACGGAGTTCTGAGAAGCTGTTCTCCCTTAGGAAATACCGTATATGAGTGTGGGGAGAAACATTAGTAAAAAGTAAACAGGTTTTGCAGCATTCTAAAGTCAGTGTTTAATCTTATGTTTTTTCCCTCATGTATTCTTATCCTAAATTCTCTCTCTGTTTGCATTCTTCCCCCCATGTGAAATATGTTTATTATAATTATTTTAATACAGTGCGGTGATAATCATCATTTCACCTCTAGGAGAACTGTAGCACATCCAAGCTAGCAGGTGCTTCCCAGGGTGGTTAGCCCAGCCCCTGCGAGGCAGAGGGAGGTCAGGGGCCCAGAGGACAGTCATGCCTCTGCTTCCTGTGAATTATGTGGATTTCACTCCTGAGGAAAAGCCTTTTAGGCTTTTAGGGGCTCCAGCAGATTTGCAGCCAAACACTGAATGTGTTTTCTTCTGCCCTCGTTCTCCTTGGCTGCTCTAAGTCTGTTCATCCCCTCATCTCCCTTCCCAACTTCATGTACCAGAAGGTAGAACCCGACCCCCAATGTAAAGAATCCGCTACCCCAAACCACCGCCCGATTCTTCCATCTGTTGTTGGTCACCACCATCCCTAGGCACCCAGGCCAGGGACTGAAGTCGCCTTTTCATGTCTCCTCTCTCATCATCAGTAGCTGCCGCAGCTTCATCAACAGGCAGGTTTCCTCCGTTTTTCCTCTAATCTTCAGTATAATTTTTGTTCCTTTTTATTCCCACTGTCACCACCTTATCAGGTGAAAATGCATATTCAGGGGTTTTCAGAAATCGGAGGAGATACAGACTACAATCACTGAAAATCTGGGAAGAAAATGCATGAAGGGACGACACCTTGATATTATCACTGTTATCAAAGTTCTTTGGAAGAAGAATCTGGATGATAGTTGCAGGATTATGTGACCTACATCGAGTCTCTTTGCCTTTATCATTCACAGTTTCTTCATCTGTGAAGAAGGATTTCAGCTGGAATCAAATTGCTAGATCATTTTCTAAGGGATTTCGTAGCTCTAAGATTCTTTGCTTGCCATTGAAATTCTTTGTTTTAGCAAGAGACATTTCACCTACTGCCTGATGGTTACTTTCTGTTATTTAAACATCTTTCTTAACAACCCATTTTATTATTAGGGAAAGAAAACAGGCAAAGGGGAAAAGAGTGAAATGCACAATTGACTTAGGTTTGAGGTTGAAGGCCAGCTGCATACACTAATTAAACTTTTGAGTTGGAGGAGTTTTAGAGGTCACCCATGCTCACTTCCCATCATGTGCCAGAATTTTCCATACTGTTGACTTTCTGAAAATTGAAAAAAATGTGTCACGCCTTATTAAGATAACTCCACACTATGCTCTATTTCAGAATTCCTTGGCACCATTGACATTTTGAGCTTGATATATTTTTTTTTTGTTCTGGGGACTGTCCTGAACATCCTAGAATGTTCAACAGCATCCCTGGCACCTATTATATGTCAGTAGCAATCCCAGCTTGCGACAACCAGAAATGTGTCCAGGGTTTACCAAATGTCCCTCAGGGTGGCAAAATCCTCTTCTTCCTCTACCCCCTCAGTTGGGAACCACTTCTGTAATTCAAACACAAGTGCTGTAGCCTTGACCAGAAACATTTTACATCAACAATTTTTAATAAGTAGATGGATAGCTATGTTGCTGGCTGCCCCTCCACCCCTTCCAGCTTTGCCACCCTCAGACATATACCTTGATCCCTCCTGGGTTTTCACTGTCTTGTTGCTATGCCTGGAAATGCTCAAGATGCCACTGCATGCTGAGAAGCATTTCAGAGGCAACATAATAAGAATCCTAGTAGCTCACATCCACTCAGCCCTTGATGTGTGCCAGGCACATTCTAAATGCTGTATGGGGATGATCTTATTTAATCTTCATTAGGAATCCTGTGGGAGAGATACTCCTATTACCCTCATTTAAAAAATGAGGTAGCTCAAACTAAAGAGGTGAAATAACAGGCCCAGGTTCCCTCAGCTATTGAGCAGGACAGCCAGGGTTAGACTGTGTGTTGTCTGATTCCAGAGTCCATGCTCCATACCACCATTCCGCAATGCCTTTTATGAATGGGATCTTGGCATTACGAGGTGGAAAAGATCTTAGATATCCTCACCCCAAGTCTGCCTATGAGACTATGAAGTTGTGAGTTATGATTTCTCTCGTATTTTTACATCCTCTCTCCTTCTTTGTTATTCAGAGATACCTCAAAGACACATGCACAGTGAGAAGTGTGGTTGCAGAGGTGGGTCCTAGAAAGGGGGATGAGCCGGGGTGGGGATAGATAGTGGACCAGAGCAAACAGGGAGCAAGACGTTTCTTTCCCCATTAACTCTTTCTCACCATCAATCTAAACTTCTCTCACCAGAATTAAAATTCTACCAGTTCTCTCCTTATTCTTCTTGGCTCATGCTTTAATTCTTCCTTTCGGCATGCTGTTGACTTCTGATACTATCTATACTATCAAGACCATAGAAAGTGGTACACATTTGAACAGAGGGAAATAAAAGTACTGGGTGAATGGCCACTGAACAGGTTTACATAGTATTGATCAGACAGCCTTCAATATAGTCAGAGTAAGAATGACTACAGTCCCAAATACTATTGCTCTGGAAACCCCAGGGCAAGCCTGAGAAGGTTGCTTATTTTCTTTAAGACCCTACATCCATGAATCCACAGATTTGGCAGATGCTGGTGAATAAACGGCAGAGTCCTGGCTTTACAAGCCTTGTGATTTGGTTTAGACAATGGTTTTCAGGCAGGACGCAGTGGCTCACACCTGTAATCCTAACACTTGGGAGGCTGAGGCAGGTGGATTACATGAGCTCATGGGTTCAAGACTAGCCTGAGCCAGAGCAAGACTTTGTCTCTAAAAATAGCCAGGCATTGTGGCAGGTACCTGTAGTCCCAGCTACTTGGGAGGCTGAGGCAAGCGAATCGCTTGAGCCTAAGAGTTTGAGCTATGACACCACCACACTCTACCAAGGGCAAAAATGTGAGACTCCATCTCAAAAAATGAATGAATGAATAAATAAATAAATAAATAAATAAATAAATAAATAAATAAGACAATGGTTTTCAAACTTGTTGAGTAACAGAATCAGCTCTAGGGCTTGCTGAAAATAAAATGGTTAGTCTCCACCACTAAAGTTTCTGATTTAGTGCATCTGGGTTGGGGCCTGAGAATTTATATTTCTTTCTTTCTTTTTTTTTTTTTTTTACAGTTTTTGGCTGGGGCTGGGTTTGAAATCCCCACCTCTGGTATATGGGGCCGGCACCCTACTCCTTTGAGCCACAGGCACCGCTCCTGAGAATTTATTATTTCTAATGGACTCTCAGGTGCTGCTGCTGGTCTTGGAACCATTGCTGCACAGGGTATCCCAAAAGTTGCCCTTAAAGTCATAGAGAGGAACAATGGGAATTGTAGCTTAATGGACCTTTATTTAAAAAATATTCGTTACAAGTTTTTACAAAATATTCTCTATGTGTTGACCATCTCTTCGGGAAATATTTGAGAACCACTGGCTTAAGCCCTGGATAACTAAAATAAAGCTTACAATCTAGCCACCTGGACTTTTTAAACTGAAAATATACCTTATTTTTAAGATAGCTAAACATTTGGATTAATGAGAATCAAGGAGTGAAGCAAGATAGGAATCACTACTAAGCATGAATTGGCATCCCCCACTAAGCCTCTAAGCTTTGCTTCTCATTTTGAGTTTCAGAAAACCTTTGCTTTTTCTCATCGATTGTACTTCTAGGTTGGATTAATTCTCATCTTAGATCTTGACATGTTCTCTGTCTCTACTCACCCTCGCTGCAGCCTTAATTTGGGTGACAAACTCCTTAATTACTCATAGAATAATCCAAATCAAAAGGCCTTTAATGTCTACTGTCCA